CATTGAAAATGCTCAGGAACATCTTCACGGTCTCCTTCTTTGTTGGAAAGCCTTCTGGAATGTATTCGTCACCAGAGCTACCTCTCAAGGCAAGATGGACCACTGCAGCAGAATATTTGTTGAACAATGGATCTGGCTCACCCACCACAATGGTGATGTTGCTCTCTATATAACAGGCGCAGTGCATGACAAGTTCCAAAAACGTAGATCCATAGCTGATGACATTGGAGGTGCAGAACCTTCAGGTGCATATGCTAATATGCTGGATACAGTATGTCAAAAAAAAACACACACCTTTCATGGATGTGATATGATTAGACATAGACACAGACGACATAGACATACACCTAGATAATGAACACATATGACATGATCAGACATGGGCAATATTATAATATTGTTTGATATGTAACGATAATGAAATGGTGTTGTATGGACCTGGGCATGGACATGTTTTGGAAAAAGATATGGACTCTCATGACGGCATCATTGTCCATCCATGACTCACAAATGGACAAAATTCAGTTCTCAATTTGGAAAACCTGTTAATATAATGAACTCAATCCTATTTAACTGAACTGTTTCTTGCGCATGCGAACAAGCCACAAGGAGTTTATACCCAACCCTCGCCATATGGATTCAACGCAGTGATTGCTCTCATGCCTGAACAGCACAATTGAAACTCAACAAAGTTTAATACTCAACAAAGGCACATCACAAGTCCTTTGCATTGTATACCATGTGCCGTTCACTGACCAATTAATTCATTCTGAACATCAAGATGAGCAACATATTGCACAAGTGGTGCAGAAAGAGAGAGTTGTGCGGTAGCTTTGTTGCGCACCATTTGGCAAGCTTCAAATTAGCTCGAGCACCATCAGACACCAGCGATAAAATAAATATATCAAATCCTTTGGACCATCCTTAGCAAAACAATCAAACAACTTATCAACATCTTCCAGTGAAAAGAGCCTAAGTGCATACCGCTGCATACCCCAACATAGATGGTATTGCGTTCCAAGTACTGTAGGTGAAAAAGCACATGGACTGCATCACAAAAAGCTCCCAGGAGACTGACAAGCACCACTCTTTGATTGCTAACCAAGGAAATGAATGTCATCAATAGCCGAAAACACTCAATAACCAAGGTAACTATTTATAACCTTTGGCCTTATAGCTTAGGCTTAAACCCTACATATTCATATAAGACAGCCTGGTATCCTTGTATCCATGTTTGCCCTGTCATGCCAAAGCATCCGAAAGGATGAATAGGTTGCTTTGACACAATTCCATGCCACAGCGCTCCAGCATGAGTCCCCCGCAAAGCGGCTGGTGGAATTGCAAATGGAGCAAACCTGGAATGACTCATGACTCATCTCATCTCATCTCATCGCATATCATCAACCCATACTTTATCATCTCCACAGTATATGTTATATAGTATATAATATAGTATAATATCGAATCATATCACATCACATCATCATTCATGTTTATCTCAGACTCATATATCGTCTCGTATCTCAATCTCATGGTCTCATAGTTAGTCATCTCATCACTCACATTGTCTTTAATTTACTAAATACAATAATCCTAATAGGTCAGGGTTTGATAGATACAGTAATATAATTTAAGTAATATATTAATATATTTAAATATATTTACTTACTAGATATATTAGTATAAAGTCTATAGTCAGTCACAGAGTCAAACCATCATATCGAATCATATCATTGATCATTGAAATTATCATGCCCGTTTTCAGTGCCAAGCTCGCAGTTGTATGTGGAAGTGAAAGTCAAAGGTCACAGTCAAAAGTAAAGTCAGAGTGTTCCGTCATTCAATTCAGAGATAGTATTGAAGAGGGAGAGAGAGGCAGCAAGAGTCACGAATACCAGTTTGAGTTGTCATGTAGTCACAAACAGTACACCACACTGACAGGTTGTGTGAATGGCGGAAGCTGTCGAGTAGCTTCGCTGGTTGCTGCCCTGTGGTTGTGATCAATGTTGAACGCTGCACCTCAGGCAAACATCTAAATCTAAATAAAGTCTAAAAATAACTCAAACAACTGCCTTGAGTGACTGCCTGAATGACTCTAGCTGTTTCTACTGCCTAGTCAGTCAGTCCAATCCAGAAGAAACATGTTTGACTCGTTGACTCATTGTTCTAAGTCTGTCTCTATTTCCGACCCATTGTCACATGGTCTAGTTGGTTTTTACTACATAGAAACTTCTCTCTATTTCTTTCTCTCTCTCTCTCTCCCTCATGTCTCCTTTTGTTCAATCCAAGTGGCCAGCACTGAGAAGATCGCTTCAGTACTGAAGTCACGAAACCGAACCCGTTGACGCTGGCTAGTCTCGTCAAACTCGAGCATCAATTTCCCAACCCGCATAACTTCCCCACCGGGCTCCTTAGATAAGCAATCAGTGCTTTGGAAACGGAATCCAACAAGAACGGACTGTTTCACTACCTTTCTCATTAAACCACATGAAATCTCTCGTTGCACACTGCTTTGCACAGTAGGAATGTTGATCCTGACCCTGACAACGATTAAACAATGACTCTATTAGACTAAGCCTCAGAGGATGCCAAGATGGAGCGGCAAAATGCTGTTTGACACCGCATGAAAAAACATGCCGTAGCCAGCTGCACCTCAGCCATGTAACCAAAGCGTAGCAGTGATGTAGGTAGTTCGCAGTTGAAAGCTCCGTGTTCAAACCTATTCAAATCAATCGTGCCTCAAATAGACTATGACGCTGTCTATGGCTTGACTAGACTCAACTCCTCATGCTTTATATTTATAAACCTACAACAAATGACTCTGACCCTTTATACATTTTAAATCTATAAATTTGGTGCTGCACCAAAGGTGCATTGGCAATGTGAGCGGGAGAGGATTGCATCCAGTACGCAACTGCTGACAAAGGCATTGATGTAATAGACTTCTGGAAGACGGATTTGCAGCTATGTATGGCGCTTGAACTTGCCCACCCAAACCTGAGTTTGATGTCGATGCCGATCTCATGTTCAATGATTCAATGAGGTAACAATGATAGATAGCCAGCTATAGAAAATGTTGCACTCACATTTAGGGCGGCAATATTGAGTTGTGATAGATAGACAATTGACAATTGACATTGAGAATAGACTAGACAATAGACTATGCCTGGGAATGTGGTACTGTATGCTGCAGGTCTGTGTGTGTGTTGTAGCATTTGCTTAGTTGAACACCTTCACTTGTGTTATCCAGATATCCCGTCCAGTCTTCTCCCAAAAAATATACAACTCACACTCTTTCAATAGTTCTTGATTTTGCAAGTATACATTTCCGAACAATACAATCGTTGTCCACGCCACGCGCTTCTAAGAAGAGCAGATGGCAGCCAGCGTCGATTGTCCTTCCCCCGGATGTTGGAAGACAGGTCTCGGCGTCGCACTGCGTGATTCTTGACATACTTCCTGGCGAGTGTCCTCAACATATGCACTCAGGGACACTCCGCTGAGAAAACACGCACTTAGTAACTAGTATCAAGAGAAAAGAACCGATTGCGATCTAGTAATCACATGCACCTATGAGATGAGATGAGATCTAGACTTGTCACTGAACCTATCAGCTTTGGCCTTGTATTTATTACTAACGACTCACCAACAAACAAAAACACTCAGTCAGTGACGCAGTTGGTATTGTTTTTTCCTTTGAGAATGATTCTGAAGCTGAGTAACGCCGCAACGCTTCCAAGATATAATGCGGCCCGCTCTTCAGTAGAAGCACCTCAATGTTGTCAATGTTACCAAAATAGATCAATTAAAACATAGCCGAATATATAGGAAATAGTCCTTCAAAAGTTTAAAGCTATCAAAATATTAGCATTGTTGATTTATGATTCATGATTCATGATCGAATCATGATATTATAAATTATATATAATATTAATATATTTATAAAGAAACGAAAGCCGCCAAACGTCTATAGGCTAGCCATATCAGGCCATAGTTGACCAAATCAAGAAAACAGTGCTGTCGGAAGGCATAAGCTGAAGTGGTAAGTTGCAAGCTGCAAAAAACAAACATCATCCAAAAAGGAATTTGATTTCATTCTAAACCAAGCGCCTTTGCGTGTTGGTCGTCTGGCGGGCATGGCTTGCTCATCCCAAGTCACTCGTATTGTATGGGCTCCATCCACATGATTTGATTGATATTGATACATTGATATGACATGTTATGTTTCAAATGATTCCATTATTCACGTGTGAGCTTGTGATGAATTGTAAATGCAGTGTATTCAGTATTCTGCTTGATGTTAAAGATGTGCCGAATCATTAAAGGTGCCTGGATTCATTCAATTCCAACAAGGCAGTAGCTTTAGTAGTATTGCTTTGTGCCTAGTGTCCTTGCTATCTTTTATTCACAGTTTCACAGCAAACAAAACACCACCGACGGACGGGCAAATTGTTTCACTGCATTGACACACACACAGAAATCATACCTGTCACGCATGCTGTTGAAACTGCCCAAAGGATGTTTGCATATGTGAGGTTCCATCAAGATATTGACTTTTTGAGTTGGACACAGTGTTTGCTCCTGAACACCCCCGCACGCACGAATGTACGCACACCCGCGCGCACGCACGTACGCACACCTGCACGCACGTACGCGCACCCGCGCGCACGCACGTACGCACACCCGCGCGCGCGCACGCACGCACACCCGCACGCACGTACGCACACCCGCGCGCACACATGTTCATTTTACACGCGCGCACGTACGTAGCAGGCGTGGTGGCTAAGACCCAAATCACTGTTTACGACATCCATAATTTACATAATGCATAAATTATAAACCATCCTCTGGGCGGTTCTGGTTCATGCTTCACACATGGCATCAGGTTCACACACATCTCAGATCTCCATGCGAGCTGTGCTCCAAAGCCCATGTTTCCATCCACCCATGCGCAGGCTCCGCGTAACGCGCTCCGCGCTCCCATCTCTGGGTGTGCGGACCGCCAGCGCGAGCGAAAACCTTGGATTTCAGCCATGGCCTCCTTGGCGGATCGGGAAGATTTGGGCGGATCCTACATGGATCGCCTGAGAAACAGGTGGAGAAATTGATCACCTTTCAGAAGCCTTGCAACATAAACCTCTCCCTGTTGTTGGCTTGGTTTGGGAGCTTGGTCTTGACCGATGGTTTGCTGCTGTCTTGACAGAAGAGTTCTGGAAGAGTTGCACCAAGGTGGGCCGGTCAACGGTGACAGGGCGTGCGGCACAGCGGAGCAAAGCAAACCAGGGTGCGCGGTACAGTACTTTTTGCTTCTCTGGACTCAAGTATAAGAAAATATAATATGAATTTGACTGGCGGCTACTCCTTCGAGTAATTATTTGTGGTTTGTCTTATGACCTGAGTTCTTCAGGAGTGCGTGCAAAAACACACACATACAACAACAAAACAACGTCTCCCCTTACAGAAATTGCCCCACACGCTAAGGTTCCGCTTCTTTTCCATCGCCTCCTTAATACCTTTTCCAACACGTTTCAACCAATGACTCAGTCATACTACTCGTAAGGTGAGACCGAACGAAGAATAGACCCCAACATCGCAGGGTGAAGAACGCCCCTTTGTAGCCGAAAGCCTCGATGTCGAGCGCTTTTTACGAGTGCTTCGAGACGCGGTCGAGCTGAGTCGACCGGTCACGCGGACATCCGCACCGTCTGAGACGAGCAATCGACCGGAGCGGACCTCGATGGTTGCGGACCAGGAGGCGTCTCTTGTAGAGTCGGTGCTGACCAAGATGAAGAGCTTTTTGGGAGGGATGTGTTTTTTCACCAACACATGACACGTGACGAAGAAAAACCGGGGGCATGCCGTGGCCAAGCGCGCTAAGCTTCGTGCAAAGCCTTGAGTCAAGGATCCAAGCAAAGGAGAACGAAGAAATGGCAGAAATACTTGGTGACTTCAGGATCACGACCTGGCTCTGATGAGACCGGGTGGTTGAGGGCTGCTGGGAGGTCAGCGCGAAGGCTTAGTGGCGATTGCGCTACATCTCGATGATGTTTCAAGTATCACTGGCTCTGACTTCAACAGAATTGGGGCTATCTATATATGTACACTCTCCTGCTATGGTGGATGTATGGCAGGGAGTTGAGAACAAAATAGCTTGCTTTACTGGGACCAAATGACCCCAAACATGAACACAGCATCACACAAAAATATACAAAATTATCAAGATATCTCCACGGATAGTCGGTACAACAAAATAAAAATGACAAGCGCGTCTTGAGGTCTCTTTTCTGGTCCCTCATTTCCCAAGCTTCAAGTCGCACCTATCAAGATACAATCTGCTGTACTGGCAATGATCTCAGTGATTTCTCAATATTCTGCAAGCAACAAGGATTTGATTTCACATGATTTCATGAACTTGAGGACGTTCTATTCTTAAGTCATCTTAAGTCAATGCACATACCATACGAGTATAACTGTTTGCTTGTTGAAACATCCTTACTACCCACTTCCCATTGGAAAGCAACAAGCACATCACCCATTCCCGTTTCTCTCTCCTCCCCACTCCCGTCCACCGCACCTTTCACCGAGCCTCGTAGAGCCTCCAGGTCGACCCCTCACCGTGGCACCGGTCGAGTGCATCGACCCATGGGACTGCCGCCCCATGGACCCCCTGGCACCACCCCAACTGATCGGCATATAGGGTGAAACAGAAATACTACATATGACATACATGGAGCGTCTGGGTATAGTTTTGTTTTCAAACAAATCTGGAGGAATCACCCCCAAACTCTATGTTTTTTCTGTGTTTCTCAAATGTGTGGCATCATGTGGGACCAACGCATTGACCATACAACATCATACTGAAGCGAATCATTCTACAAAATGTCCTGGAGAACCTCTGCTTGGGTCTTCATTGGAGGGGTAGCACTGCAACTTTCAATCTATCCATCACGCCGCAGAACGCGCCCGCCCGTCTTCATCGTCTTTCACGCCAGATCCCCGCCCACCTTCCAGGGCGTTTTGTGCTTCCTCCTCGGTCAAGTTCAACGCTTGCATTCGCTTCCTTAGGCCGCAACCCAGGTCCCCGACGGATACCGACGGCGACCGGTCGAATCCTCCCGCGACCGGTCGCGCCCAGGCACGCTCGGCTGCTGGGGACCAGAAAGCCGCTGGTGTCGGGGATCCAATTGCCATGCGAGCTGAAGCTCCAGCCCTGACCCGAACCAACGAGGATACGGTGGTTTTTGGCAAAGAGATGCGACATCGGGGTGGAGGTGACAGAAAAGCTCTGAACAACAAATGAAAAAACAAACAAAACAACACATGCATACTATAATTACTATATAATAGCTATATGGGGAATAATGCAAACTGATTTGTCTGGATATATGGAAACTGAAGGGGAACAGTCATATTGACACATCGGTGGAAAAGCACGCATTGACCCCGATAACCGCCATCGCATTGGAGACCTTGTGGAGCCTTTGCCTGGGTTGTTGCAGAAGTTGGCTTGACCCGACCTCAAGCGAAAAAGAAGAGTTGGACCGGTTTCCTTGTTTGCAAAGCATTGCCTACTATAGCCTACATCCTTCTCAAAGCAGAAGGCTGAGAAGACTCCACATCCCTCCACCTGACTCGACAAGACAAAAATCGCTCCCAACTACAGTGGGTGGACTCCGTGCCCACTCAGCACACGACACGACGCCTGTTCCGGTGGCAGGTCCTCATCGCTGCCACAGCGAGCCACGGTGTATCCACCGCCACCGATCTCTGAGGCTAAGTACCTCAGCGAGAGAAGCGGAGGCCAGAGAATCTCCGGTTTTTTTCAGCGGGTGTCAAAGGCCACAGTTGTTCTTTGGGATCATTTTGGGTCCAAACAAAGGGAAAGTTCATGGAATTTCCATTTGGAGCTTTGTCCTCGATTGAATCGTGTGCTGAGCATCTGGTTTGTTGTCGATGTGCCTTTTCTCTTCGAACCAAAACGCAGACTTCAAGTTTATGAACAACCAACATTAGCTGGATCGCACCTCGAGAAAAACAAACTTCACAATCTTCAGAGCTCATGTCCTGTAACTATTCATAGTTAACGATACGATAAGGTTATAGTTATATTATGTTATATTTAATTGTTTATTAATTATATTAGATATCAAACGACACCATGCCAGCTTCAAAGCTTCATATCATATCACGCATCACGGCCAAGATATGCCAAGATCACCAAATCCCCTCCCCCTCGACCAGCACCACCGGCCGCTTGCCGCTCGCGCCAGCCGGGTCAAAGCTGCCAGCCGCGCTCCCAGGATGAAGCTTCTTTGTCCACAGTGAGTGCCGGGTTCCAGAAGTAGACACACCACTTCCGCGCAAAGCCCAAGCGACGCCTTGTTCGATGGCCAGCCCAATTGAGTTCGGATGGCCCAAAAGCATGTTTTGTACCTCGATAGGCCCTAGGCCTGGACCCTTACGCATGGATTCACATACCATGTTCAATGATGCTTTTCAGGCGTCATGGAGTCTGTTGTCTCTTCATGTGTCATAAAGGAGCCCCCATGCAGGCAACCCCACCCCTAGAAGTTGGAGCATGCCAATCAATTAGTGAGTCAGAACTCATGACACTTGACACGCAAATGGACACACACTGAGCCCAAAGGATACAGTAGAGACTACAACTTACAGCATGTCATGGACTGAGTGAAACTCGTCTCTACTTTGCAAGGGGTTCTCTTCTTTAGACCAGCCACTGTACAACTTCTTTAGACCTGTCATATGATGATGCACTTTTTGCCGGTGTCCCGTGGGTGTCACGACGCAGAAAAAACTCGAACGCCAAGGGTCACATAGATCGGCCTCGAGTGACCTGAAACTCATGAATGTTCTGCGGTCTGGGATCACTGGAATGAGGGTATCATATAATATATATAATATGGTAGCGTGCTTTATACTACTTAAATTTGTTTGGTTAGATAATTATATTACGTTTATATATAGTTATATTTTATAGATTATGTAACTGGATGCAAATGGTATCATTCCAGGAGACGCACTCACAATGAGTTTGACACCATTTGTTGATTAACTGCACCTAGTATGTTTGTAACATCCTGACACAAAGTACTTCAGTAGGCTATGGTCGCACATATGTCACTGGGATCCGCTGGGTAAAAAGAATAGTATGAAGAGGAGGCTCTCATGTGGGACACCAAGCTATTCAGCTTCGCTTGTTTTTGCGCGGTGTCCAGAAACACATCCGATATCACCTGATAGCCTCAGTGGTTGTGATCCAAACATTGATTATCAATGATTATCATATATATATTTCTCCAAAATGGGACTGACACGACTGACGACAAAAGAAACAAGTAAATAAACGACCCTGACCCGGCCAGGTCCATGATCAAGACAAACTCAGCTGTCCATCCCAGCCATTCGTCCATGTCTCGATTTCGTCTGTCGCGAGGGATTCGGGCAACCCAGTGGCCTAGCAAGTCTTTCCTTCCCCGATGCCGCTGGTAAAGCCCATTCCTTGGAGCCAGTGCGGAGGCGTGAGGGGCGTGCGGAGTCCTTGAAGCCCGTGCAAAGTGGCCAGGGGCAAAAGAGTCGTTGAAAAGGTTGGATGGATGAAGTAATCCTCTACTCCAGATATTTCAAAAGAACAAGCCCTTACATATATCCTTATATATCTTGTATATTATATTATAAGATATTATAAGCTCCAGGTCCTCCAAGGGTCGAGTGTGAACATTTTGGGGGACCCACATTAGCTCTAGACCTCGCCCAACAAAGCGCTGGTAGGTGGACAAGCAAAAACATGCTGGAACCACCCCTCTCAGCCACACTCGGATTTACAAGTTTTGTGTGTTTTTTGCATGGCCCGCCAAGTTGCAGCTCCGGCTTCCGCGTGCAGCCACTGAACTCCAACCTGGAGAGACAGTCTAGCTCAAGCCACCGGGAGGCTTTGAACCCATTTGAAGTGTTTTGAAGATTTGGGGACTTTGCGATCCTTGAACCTAGAATTTGAACCTCGACAAGTCAGGGTTGGCAAAGAACATGCAACAAGTCTTCTTTCAACAGTAGTTTAAAGTTTAAACACATGATGGTGCTTGAAATAAGGAAGGACATATACTGAATACTTCCATATTGGCTTCTTTGAACAAATTCTCACAGAAAACGGCGACAGATGAGCCGATGGGTGTGTAGCTCTGCGGGGTGGTCAGGGCACTCCAACCATGCCCCTCTTCTACAAATCCAAGGACCACCTTGTCACATTCAGAGTGACAAAACCATCCTCTAGGGCCATCCACTTGGTGTACATTTATCAGCCCTCCTTCCTTCGTGCTGCTGTGCCATCATCCATCATCCCTCATCATCCCTCATCATCCACGAGGGAGGGCTGCTGTGCCATCAGCCATCCAACATTCCGTTATATATACAGAATATAGGGCCGTTCCATATAGGAGTGCAACACCATCCTATACCCAAACACTCCATGTATGCCAAACCACCCATCCCTCAACCCGCGGCTCTGCCGTGGCACATGGCTGGCACGCTAGGCCCCTCCGCCAGGTCCATGTCCAACTCCCCGCTGTCGTCGGCGCTGGTGGCGGCTCGGAAGACGTCCTGCGGCTCGGTTCATCGGTCTAAAGAAGTGAGCTACATGGGACTGGAAGGGTGAGCTACATGGGAAAACAAATCATTTTTACCTTAGTAACTCTTAGTTTAACGAATTCATATGTCAAATGTGTGTTAACCTTATTTAAACCATTAATTACAATTGGATGTACAGTAACTCTTCCAGTCCCATGGATGATCTGGCCTTCGGAACAGCAACAACTGACCGCACTAGACAGCAGCAAGGAAAACAAATACGTTGACCGCGTGACAGTGAACATTTGGCCCATACTTGGAGGTGCTGTCTCGCAGTGGCCTAACACTAGCTTGCTCTGATACTAACCCATTACACCTAAACATGTTCACACGTAAAATATCATAAACTTTACCACAAACATGACAATACTTAAACTTACAATATGTTAAAGATTGATCTGTACCTGCTCTAAAGTGGTCTTCTAGCATATTGTTCCCACGAGGCCGAGGACCGCCCCACCTGCTGCTCGTACTCACGGATGTCCAAAGGGATCAATGGGATCACATCGCCGTCCTGTACGGCCGAAGCACGACCGCCATGCTCACGGCGGACGGACAGGCCCTGGGACGGAAGCAACCTGAACAGTTACTAGTAGTGAACATTGCTCCTAGTAGTAAGGCCAGGAGCCCCGTTCGTAGCGTTCTTGTTTACTATTAGTAAGGCACTTGTTACTAGTAGCGATGCCCTTTGTTACTAGTAGCTTGAACATGGTGGAAAACAACACCCAAAGCAACCGGAACAACACGGAGGGCTCTTCTAACACCCAGTCCACGGCCAGCAGAATTCGCTGGCTCATCATTTCATATGAGTCAACTCCAGTCTCGTGAACGCGAAGGAGGCTTGGTTTCACAATCCGCCTGCATCTTCCAATCCCAGCCTGTGATCAAGTGACCAAAAACCCTAAAAACACCTATGGACCTATTAAGCAGTAGTTCCATGTCGGGGTGCTGAACGAACGGAGGATAGGGTTATGATCCACTCACTGGATGGGACAAAACTTGACTGAACACCACCCCGAGCTCTGTGACTCCTGGAAGCTCAAAAACTCTTTGTTCAGAATGGATCCCAGGCAAACCACTAGATATGGAACCAGGGGCCCTTGTTCGGTCTATGGTTTTCAGAACCCAAACACTCCATGTATGTTCGGTCAATGTCTACATTGACCCCCCAAAGAACCCCAATGTAGGCAATATTATATATACATGTGATATTCCATGTCACGTCCATAGGCCATGTGTCTTCCGGTGGACTTTCGGGTCCTCACCTCTGGTACTCCGAAATTCAAGGCACAGCGGACCTCATCCAGTGTCAGGTCGTGGACACGAGTGCTAGGCTGTCAACACACTGACAGCTGGCTAGACGTCAGGTTTTGGAGATCGATCTCCTTTTAAGGAAGCCAGCTGGAAAACGCATCACCCTAGATGAATCCCTGACTTCCGTGCAAAAATTCTTAGTGGGCTTTGCAACTACTACATATAGTAATAACATATACGCTCGATCGAACTGTACTTGACAGCTAAGATTTTGTATGCTTTTCACACACCTAAGTCTTGGTAGATCCATCTATACCTAGAACTTCTTCTCGGGCATAATGTTCTTCCTATTATGGGTAAAGTCACCTTTGCCTGTGCCTAGGCGCTCTTGCCCCCTGTAGGGCGTTCTTGTCCCCTCTAGGCATTCTTGTCCTTTTGGTGGCAATTCTCAAACACAAATAAGGATCCACCCGCCACTGGTTCCAGGAACTTCCATAGTGATGAAGTACTCTGTGTATAATGGATTCACTTGATACTTCACTTTTGCATGTGTTTAGTGTTCTAGTTCTATGTGTTGTTTCATATAGTTTGAATATGTTTTTTGTGTTTTTGGTGTAGGCGTTCTTCCTGTCACTTAGGCGTCCTTACCGGTCTTACCGTCTTACCTGTTACTTAGGCGTTCTTGCCCAGTACTTTGGCATTCTTGCTTGTTTCCCCCTACTACAACCAGACAGGAAGGGTAGCCCTTTTGGGGGAATGCGTTACATTGGGTTCCACATACATTATGTAAGCGTTTGTTTTATTTAGACGTTGTTTCATTCAAATTCTGATTCTGCCTGTAAGAATGTGATTGTGCCTTGGCGTTTTTGCCCGGCTGCAGCTTACGCAGTCTTTTGTGACACGGGTTAAGTGTTCTGCCTAAATGAAGTTGGGCGGAAATGATTGCGAGGCAGGTCTAGGTATAGACGTACCGATTTATGGACTCGCAGAAATTAAAAGCACATATGGATGTTCAATCTGCAGTTTGGAGCCCCCCACAAAGACACTTCATTGACCCATTCATTCTTGTTCGTGTTAATCTGGTCAAGTTCATAAACCCACCAAATCCCAGTCCCGGAATAGTTCCTCCCCAAACACCGACCCACCGACCAGCCACTCGGTCCAGAAAGCAACGGAATGGTCGTTCGCCTCTCCCCCATCCCCGACCCGACCAGGCCGTCGTCCTCGGCCCAGACCTCGATGGTCGTTCGAGTCGTTCGATGGTCGAGGAGCCAAGGCGTGCGCCGCCTCGGTGGCCAAGAGCTGCCCAATCAACGCAGCAAAGGCCTGGCGAGCCGAGCTGCGGGGTGCGAGGGCCACCAATCGGGAGGGGGGTGCTGGGAACGTTGCACATTTGGATGAGAAATGGAGGAACGTCATAGTGAGGGGAAAAAGGTCTATCAACTACCATCAACCACCTGGGTGCTGGTTAAGTGTCATTGGTTTTGTTGGAGGGTTGTTTGAGTGTTTAATTGGCTTTTGGAACCCGTCTCAATGCACAATCTGTTTGAGGACAGGAAGGGTGGAATGGAAGTGATGTGGCACAATGTGGCGTGGCGTGTCTGAAAGGTTCCCAAAAGCGTTGACATCCGGAAGTTCATGTGTTAAATAGTTCCGGTCAATCAGAATCCCATCGTGTTTGCGTCATTAGGAGCTTTCTGTGGAGACCATGTGAAGATGTGTGGTTGAAAAATGCCTTGGACAAAGCCTCCTTTGCTGGTGGGACGGCGATTTGTTGGGGCCTTCTTTTTTCTCCATATCGAGCGTATGAAGACCAGCTGTTACGTGAACTATCATTCACCATCATTCACCATCCATCTGGTGGCCACAGGTGTCAATCAAAACGGGGCAGGAGACCGCTGGCAAATGGTCCTCCCAACAGGGCATTCAATGGGAGAAAAGAAATTGCAAGCATCTCAGACCATCCTGGTTAGCCAACATCACTGTTGCTAATGTTCGACTGTCAGGGTCAACCTACGCCCAAGAACATCCCTATATCTAACAAGTCTCACAGCCAACTTCCGGTAGGTTTGGAGGATGAGACTCGTTCTACTGTTGGAGGTGTCCACCAGGTCATTATCTGTTCACATATTCAATCATCATGAGATATATTCACTCTCTCTCCCTCAAAATTGCTATGACTCTTGCACATCTTTGCAGGCCCATTCCACCCACATCAGACTCAAATGCTGCTGAAGTATGTCGCTAACTTAATTACTTCCGGCCCCGCGGCACCCAGAAAGCATGGGCCTGCTCATCGAAGGTAATCTTCCCGCGCTGGGCCGCACTCACCGCGCGTGCGAAGTTCTCGGCATCTGGCTGGGCGGCGCTGAGGTTCAGGAGCGAGCGGAGGGGCTCGACTGCGATGGGCTCCTGCATCGGCCCCGTGAAACACAGCAGGGAGACAAGAACAAAGCCACTGGCTTCCAAGAACTTTATGACTCACTATGGCTCCCCTAGAGCACTGATTCACTATCATTCACTCCTCTCAAGTCCACGCTTGGTTCCTTTCAAAGCAAACACATCCAGGTACCTACATAGTCTATCTTTCTCTCCCTCTCTCTCTAATAAAAAGAAAGCGCTGTAAAGCATCAAACATTGGACAGCGCAAGAGTCAATCATGTTATGTCTCTTTCAACAAAGCACAACAGTCTACTGAACACACAAACACACATCCAGCAACAAAACAATCAATCACCATCCCCAACTCGGGTCCTATAGGTCCGCCCGGACCAAACCTCCGTTTCCATCTATCATCTCTCCGCTTCCGTCTCTGACGCCGAGAACCTCCGTGTTTTCCACGGCACGTCTCCGTTGTTCTTCGGCGCAAGCGTCTCGGGAGACGGTCTCGGTCTCCTCTTCGTCCAGAAGAAGCTCGACAGCTTCTAGCGCTTCTTGCAAATGCCTCGGGAGTCGAGCGCGACATCCGTGGCGGGGTGGGCGTTGATGGGGGATACGACCGAAGTCGGGAGACGTCGAATTCGGTCTTGAGTTGGGGTGGTGAAGTCATAGTTTTATGGTGGTGGAGTTTGAGAACATACTGGTACCAACAATTTGATGATGCATGCTTTAAGTCTAAGGCACTCAATTTCCTTGGTGGATGTGAGGTACTGGGTCAATGCCTGGAGCAAAAAAGGATGGCTGTCCGGCACAGTGCCGGACACCAACCGATGAATCCTCCACAGACCGACAACGGTCACCTGACCTTTGAGTTGACCAAAACCTCCAGTCCCTTCAGGGCTTATCTTCTCAGAAGGTACTTGGACCCTGCATGAACTGCGTGTGCACTGCGTGTGCACTGCGTGCCTATGTGTCTCCAATCACATTCTCAGAGGGTATGTGAATCCACAATGAGTGCAAGTTGCAAAAAACACGCACAAACAAACTGTTTATTGTAACATTAACATGATGTATAAAATGTCGAGGCCCGACAAAAGAAGCACACACACACATGAAGCATGATGAAGCCATGTGTACACAAGAAACCTCTTGTCACAAGCTGTTTTCAGATCATGAACAGCTCGTTTCTGCCGTGTGCCGTGAGGAACTTCCGGACCCGTTTCGTCTCTGGACCCGGGTCGGGTTCTCTTCAGACCTTCGCCCAAGAGGCCCCTCGTGTAAGGCGCTGGAGAGCTTCTTCTTGGCTCGTGCCAAGGCGCGCTTCCGCTCCGCAGCCTGGTGTCTTCCGTCTCTAGATCTCTTTTTGGGGCTCCAACATGCTCCCAATCATATCCTCAGAAGGTGGTAGTACTCATATCCCAAGCTGTACTCATTAGGGCTCCTGTCCCATATCCTCAGGTACGGTAAGGTGGTTAGACCCCCTGGCACCAACCCGAACCATCTTCGAAACGGCGACCCGAGTTCGGTGTCAGTTCTCCCTCACCCGGGGTTCTCCAGGTGCACGGCAAGGTGTCCTTCAACACAAGGCACGGCATCAACATTTGGACTTTCGACACAAGACGTGGTATCTTCTCTGAGGAGAGGAAATCTGGGACACCCAGGGACACCCACAAGCTGCAGTCCCTCTCACTTCACCAACTCTCCAAATATATCGAAACAAGGGACCGGTACAAAAACCCCTCAACGGGGCTGGTTGACCCGGCAAAAGCAGTAATTGGTCACTTGGAGTCTTGGGAAGCGACTCCTGGAGCGACTCGGAGATCCCGGTTGGGGGATCAGGGGCTCAGGGGCTCTTCACATCTTGACCTGCAGCTGGGAAGCCTTTGCGTCCCCCCCGTAAAGGCCATGTCATGTACCACGTGCAAGACGGTTTGTGCCCAAGCAGCTCGAGCTGGGTGGGGGATATGTGGGGATGGGGTGAAACAGCCACGACAGAAACCCCCGTGCACGGTGCACCTCAAGCTCTGCGAAGTGGTCTATCTCCTCCTCCTGGACCGGACCCACCTGAAGCCGGATTTGGGCGAGAAACTCAGCGCCATGGAGTCCGGTGAGTTTCCAGAAATGCGTCCGGTGACTGGCTCAAAAAAGACTATACAATTCATGGACCCGGAAAGCCGCCGGAGATGTGAATTAGTTGCCTTTTCCTGGAAAGCCTACAATCCGTGTTTGCTCGAAAGGTCGCCTCTTCAATGACCTCATCCACTTCTTCCACAATCTCCTTCACATCCGGGATCTCCTCAGAATCGGCTCAAATGGACTGGTGAGGGACACACAGTAGTAAAACATGGGTGGACATTTGAGCAACCTTTTGGGAATAAAAACGGTGCCCCCAGTTGTAAATCTATACGGCAAATGCATGTCTATTGCCCTTTGGGATAGCTCAAAGGAGAGGGCTCTATCTTGAAATACTTGACCACATAACACTGGTCCAAAGAGTGTTAGTAGTAGCATAGCACTACTAGCACTCGTACACATATTGCGGGCCATTGTAGCACATTTATCACATTTCAAGTGGGCTCGCAAATTCACTAATAAGTCAATTCACGTTTTAAATATACTGTATACTCCAGGTCTGACACCGGTAGTATTAGGCTAGTCAGGAATAGCAATTAGACCTGCAACTCCAATAAACATGTGCACGGACGGACTTTGTTCCTATAATATAAGTGTCTATGCCGTCTGCCTCATTCCAGTAATCAGAATCAGCTTTACATGAATTCACGTGATCTATAAAAACTTGTACTCTGGGTCAGCCTCCACAAACAGCAGGGGGACGACACTGCGCCTTCGCGCGAAAGCGCGCTGCTGCGACGTCCGCGAAGCGGCCGCGCTTCGAAGCCGCGACCATGGCTCCAGGTGGCTCACGGAGCCATGGCCCTTCACAACGACCTCAAACACATGTTCACATAATAAGCGGGTCTACAAAAGCGGTTCTACAAAACTGCTCTACAATATGTTTGTTCACTCTTTTTGTTAGAGTCCAAACATGTCCAAACATGTTGAAGTCTCCTCTGCCAGGCTCACAGCATCAGGAAGGAGTCGACAGGTAAGGAGTAGGATACTCTCAACACAAATCAAAACGCTGTCAGGGCTGGCCGCTAACGTTGAGACCTCCCGGTCTAGGACGATGATTGGTCGAGGACTCGAGGAAATTATTTTTCTTCCCTGAGGTTAATGGGCAACTGGCAACCACATTCGTTCCACTATATACTGTATAATTTAGGCTCAATGGTATCAAATGGTTCATCACCGCACATCAACTGATATCAACTCCGCTGACCTCATCAGCTCCCGAAGCCAAAGGCTGGCAAGACGCAAGCAGTGATGCTTGCCAAACTGCATGCAACTCAAGCTCTCAGCGTCTACCTGGAACCCCCCAACAACCAGAAACAAATGGTTGTTCCAATATGGCAATTGAGATCCTTGACATAGGAAATGGCTGTTTGGGGAAAACGTCCATTTCTTTCTGGTTCTTTGGGTTTCTAGGTACCTTTCAAAGTTCCAACAAACAGGATCGCTCCAACAACTCTACAGGTAAGAAGAACTCCACCGGTCGCGACCGGTCGCCCTCTGAGACGCGAGACGGGCACCCACACTGAATCAGTATGGGCCGTGGCTTATGGGGACCCCCTCTCAAGGCCCCCCCTGGAATCATTGTTTAAGCCATCCCCTATGAATAAGTAACTTGCCCTATGTAACTTGACATGAGGTGTCATGTGTCCCGTCTATGCAAAACGAGGGCCGCCCCGCCCCTCAATTCGCGAGCACACAAAATGGCTGGGGGCTTAAAACAAGATCAAACCAGTTGAATGTCTGTACTTCTGAGCAAAAGAGGAAACAACAAAAAACAACAGGCTACTGGGAACCATTGGAAACCGGAGCCGACTGTCCTTCCGATCGGGTCCGCTGCGAAGGCCTGGCCGTCGAAAGCGGCAAATCTGATCGCCCAGGTGCTCTCGAACATAGCGAGCCTCTGAAGACCACTCTGCCTGGCAAACGACGGAGATCTAAGCAGTGACAAAAAGCGACCACCTTCTTGAAAGAGGACTTTCTACTTCCCGGGTATATCGCTAAGGTTAGACTTTTCATCTGAAGGATTCTATAGGGGATATAAGTCTGCTAACCGACAAGTAACCCTTGTTCTAAGCCTTTTAAGCTCTAAATGAAGGTTTGGTTCGATCTAGCTGGGACTTGGCTAACTCATGCCAACTCATATCATACAGGATTGTAATTGCTTAGATCTGACTTAGCTGAGTCGAAGTTATGTCAACATAAGATTATCTTGGACTTAGTAAGTCCAATCTAAGTCCAAGCGAAATCTATGACACATGGAAATACTTTCAGACCTCCCCCGTAGAAGTAAAACAACACATGTCAAACGAGCTGGGACTTGGCTTAGACTCAGGTTGGACATGGCTCAGAATCAGTAAATCCAACCTTAGTCCAGCTTATAGAAGTCTAATCTAAGTCTACGCTGCGTCTACCTTAGCTAAGTCCAAGCCAAGTCACTAACACAAATTTTCTACATATTAGATCATATTAGACTTAGCTAGCCTTAGCTAGCCGTCAACCTGGAAAGTCCTGTCCGCATATCACTTTGCCAGGTATATAAGTCATTATAGGAATTTCCTGGTTAAGTCACGAACAACTCGAAAGCATCAAAAGCTGACGATTCTTCCAAACCGACGACTACACGAAACACCAAAAGATGACGGCCCGAAACACGCGTCAAGTCGAGTCAAGTCACTTGTGTGGGACAGGGACAAGCAGCGCAAAAGCGGACCTGAGCGCGATCCAAAGGAGTGCCACCATGTGCTTCACCCTTGTGAGTACGGTGCACACCTTTGTGTATACGACCCATTGTCATCCACGGCATTGGTCACATCAAATATCATCCAAATTGACCAATATCGTCCAAATAGAAACCGTGGTTCACCTCCTGACATGCTGCAGAGAACTGGTTCCCGTTCCCACGTTCCTCTTTCGACAAATTCTCTAAGTGCCCGGACGAGTGGGCTCGACGGGACGCCAGTGTTCGACTCCTTCCCTGGCGAAATCTGGGACGGGGGAAATGAAAAGGAACATCCGAGACATTCCGAGACTTTGCCTGGTCAATTTAAATCTATATATAAATCCAGAACCAAAAACCAAGCAAAGTGGGTGATGAAACGAGAGAGCCCTGGACAGCCACTGAACCATTTAGAGTATTGAAGGATCGACATCGCTCCAAACTCAAAAAGCAGGCAAACCGCACCAGCAGCTTTCAAGCAACCAGTCCAACCTGAAGGCAACTGATGTTAGAGCATTGACAAATCCAAGTCACCAAATACCAAACATACTTACAACATTAACTTTCGACAACTTGCCAGGTTGAGTTTTCATGAAAGTGTTCATGTAAGTGGGTTTCCAAGAAAACTGCACAACCTGTGCAGTCATCTTCATTCTGTCGAGTCTAGCATCCTCTGCTACCCCACTCGGCTCGCTTCGGAGAGCGCACCTCGCCGCCAGCGGCTAGGCCCAGGGGAAAGCGGGCAATCGATGGAGAACTGCCAAAGAAGCCGCTCGCCTGTCAGACAGTTGAAGGTCAAATCTGAACACCGTTTTTTGCAATAATTAATACCCTTTTGCTTGGAATGTCGAATCTCTCAATCAGTTTTCCCTTTTGTGTGGTGTTTTCCTAAGATCATGTGGTCAGTTCCAAGGGTGCACTTGTCCCAACCGATGGCAAACAGTCTGCGTCCCTACCCGTCCCTACCCGTCCCTACCCGCAGGGACGTGCCTGCACGGTTCAACATCCTCCAAACGGGCCAGTTGACGGCCTAGTGTGCCGAACATCAGAAAAAATCAGGCGTTTGAGGTCCTTTAAATGTCCCGAAAAGAGTGCTCAATTCCTCGCTGTTGGGGATTAGGATGAGTTAGGAGGGACTAAGGAAAAAACTAGTTTCGCCGGCTTTTGGGAGCTGTGCAACATAGGCTGGACCATACTCCGGAAACTTCAGCATCAATTCAACTCTAAATGGATGACGCCTCGACATAGCGTGAGCCCCTTTATGCTGGATGCCTTCACCCTGTAGAGGATACACCCTGAAATGACCTCCTGTGCATAGTCATTCTTTAGGTCATGGGTCCTGGAGTCGAGCGAGATCAGCCGACAAGGCAGGCTTGGTAGATGGGGAGGTACCGCCGCCAATACTGACCCTGTGCGATTCGCACAGTGCTGACATGGACACTGCTAGAAATGTCCCATGTTTACAATGTTACCATTTTTGACAGCTTGGATCATGTCTTGCTTTATCCCATTTTTTACCAGAGACTAGACTTGTAACATGGAATTTACAAGGGCGAACAGCCGAAAATGCAATCATTTTTTGCGCACACGCGTTTTGCAGGTCTGTTGGGTTTACAGTTTGGGCCAGGTCCGGGCCAACGCCGCAAGCAAATTCCCTTTGTTGTTCCATCGAAACTGGAAACTTCGGACATATTCGTCGACGAGTTTGCGTCACGCTGTCCTAAACCATCGGCACCCCATCCATGGTGCCAAAATCAAGAAATCTCGGGCCAGAAGTTCACTTACATTGGTCAACAATAAAGCAACACCATGATGATTGCACAGGCTTTAGACCTAGTCCTCGGATGCACACTTCCCCTTTCATTTGATGTTTACATCATTAAAGCCAAAAAAGGCCGTCACGTAGCGGGACTTGCACCAGTACACCAATCACACATGCACCCCCATCCCCAACGTAGCATCAACTTCGTGACGTAAGTGCAAGCGAACGTTAACATGCCCCACCCCCACCCACATCCACAACGTAGCATCAACTTCGTGACGTAAGTGCAAGCGAACGTTAACATGCCCCACCCCACCCCACCAAAAATAGCGATTTCCCCTGGGGTCGCTAACAGCGGCGCTAGCGAAGCTTCAAGTTGACAAGATAGAACAGAGTCTGTAGCTAACTTGTGAGTCCGGACCAGTACTGGGCGGAATAATGAGATCTAATTAGTACTGACCTCAACGTTTCACTTCATAAGAGACATCACCTCTGCAAAAAAACAATTTTAACATACCTGTTTGTTCATGTTTTGTCCTACTTATATACCACCTGTTTGCCATTTGCCACCGGCCAGTTCAATCCTCCCCCGTTTTCGCCAGAGTATGGCCCGCCCGTGGGTCTCCGCTTCCTCCGCTTCACCTTTCCCACTCCTTCCGCTCGCTCGCTGAACCCGCTGAACTCGTTTGGTTCGGAGGCGCGAGGAGTTCAAAGAAGTAGGGTCCACCGCTGTCCGCCCAAATGCTCAGCTCCTGGTGCGTCGTGACCGGTCGCGTGCCGCTGCACTCCGACTCGAGAGTCACGGCTGCGACCGCGTCGTATGGGCATGCGGGATGAGAGGGAATCCGGGGAGAAACAGACCATGGGTGGGTGAAAATGGCTGGTCTTGGCAAAAACTCGGTTGACTGGATCATAGATGATCATAGGGTCCCCCAGCATGCCATGCCAGAACAAGAAAAGGGTCACATGACATGCCCTTAATTTTGAGCTTCACGTAACACATCGTAACACCAACAAGGGCTTTCATATCATGTGCTTCCCATCAAGGCATCAATGAAGGGTTTGGAATACGACATGGTCCATCGAATCAATAACAAGTCCCTGAACCGATCAAGCTGTCGCAGGGGTTTCTTATCCAAACACTCCATGATACTCCATGTATGGTATATATGCCTACATTGACCCCGACTTCAACCACCCCAATGTATCCAGCCACTCCCATGGAGTGCTTGGGCCATCTGTCGTGTCAACCGTCCGGCACACCGCTGTGCCGGACTGACTCAAGGTGGTCGATCCT